ATTAATCAAAATTAATATTAGCAACACCAACATTATGAAAACATTAACTAGAATATTTAAACTTCATGGGCATATGAAGTTTGTCTCTTAGAAATACACACACATATATACCAATAAACATATATATATATATATATATTTTTAATGGAAAAACTGCACATTCTTACTTTTATTCACTGAACTCATTTTTTTGAAGTTAAAAAACACTCATATATACACTATTTCAGTTCTAAATATTGATCTCTGTGATATTGATTAATTTATTGGAAAAGTATTTGCAATAAATGTAGTCACTTGCTATAGATTAATAGTTAAATTGATCTTTGAGTATTTATCAATTCATGAGGTTCACCAAATATGCATCAAAGCACCTAGTATAGTGGCTTGTTGATAATGTGTCATGAACTGGGTGAGAAGTGCTAGTGAAAACATAAGTAGGAAGAATAAACATTATAAAGGGAAACATATGTGAAGTGGAAACATAAGCGGGAAGAAATAATATCAATCTGGTAATTTTTCCATCCTAAGTGTTCAGTTACTTTTGTGTTGAAGTGCTGTTCTTTTCTAAGGAAAGAATTGACCCTTTCTAAGATAAAGAATTGACTGCTATATATTTTCTAAGGAAAGAATTATGTAATCTGCACTCATGTGGATTACACAATTTGCAAACTGCTAAACAGTTTGTGATTTATTTCTCCAAGATAAAGTATCATGCAAGATTCTTTTCCAAAAACAAAAGATGAAGTTATATTTTACTGTTGCTAAAACATCAAAATGACATTGCACTTACAGTTCATGCTGCAAAAGAAAGGTTTATGAAGTAGAAACTGGTCTGAAATTTCACACATTCCTTTTCTGACAGCTTTTTGATTTACTAACTTCTGGGGTTAAGACATAAGGTACGTAGAGTTATATCAGCTGCAACTCAACATGAATCACTGTACAACTGCCAGTCTGGAATAATTACATGAGCAAAGTATGTGCTAATTCGCTAATGTGTCACCTTTCCTTAACACACTGACGGCGGTGAGAATATTCATTGTTCTTTTCGTGAGGTGGTGCTTGAATTAGCAATCCGTTATTATAAAATTATAAAATTAAGAAATAAAAAAAATCTGAAAAATTTCAGATTTTAAATTACGTCCAAAGGGTCTTTTTTTAATGTTTTGCATGTTACCTTTATTTATTAACTATCATGTTTTATGTACTCAAATCATAAAATTCAGTTTAACAGCAATATCGTAAAATAATTTTAAAATGAGCATATCTTTAGAATTTCCAATACAAAGTCTCGTGCACTGGAGATAAAAATGTTTTTTTTTTTTTTTTTTTTCTGTACAGTGTTGCCATTGCTCACTTTGAAATCGTCGAGTTTGATAATTAAAAATTCGTTGAAGTGTTACAAAATATGAAATTGATAATAAAACAAATTTCAAATTTAAATTAGGGCTTCACATGCCCATATTCTGTCTATATTTATCCATATTTATATTATGATCTATATCTACGTTATTCAAATTTTGATGGCTCTAGGTACCATTGTTTTATCACAGTGTGAGAAACATACATGCACCCATGCAGATTCTTCATTATTTAATTTCTTTAAATATAATACAGGGCTCTAATATTTGGTGACCAACAATTTGAAAAGTGATTCGCCGTTTATAGTTTTCAACGCAAAATGCCAAAACGAAATTAATAATCCTTCAAGGCAAATTGCCCCTTTGGACTAAAAATTATAAAATTAAAATTATAAATTAAAATTATAAATTAAAATTATAAAATTAAGTTATTATATTACATTATAAAATTATATATTTTATAATATAATACGATAATTGTATCTTTTGACATACAAGCATATTTTAGTATTTTTTGATATACAAGCATTACCCATCAGTGAGTCATGCCAGCCTGCGGAACAATCAAGCATGACCCACTGGTGGGTATTTGCATATTTTAAAGTGAAAATAGGTGATATGGTTAAATCATTGTCCCCTCACAAAAGGTGCAAGCAGTATGTCTAAAATTTATGGAAGTGAATGAGGGGAACATGTTCTAAATTTCCATTTCGAATGCCATGATTTGGCAACAGCCCAAAGATCACTCAACTGATTGCTACTTTTGTATAGCAAAAACATCAAGATATAACAAGAAAAATAAATGCAAAATAGAATATCCTTGTTTACCATAAGCTATATATCCAGTGCCTCATTCAGCTGAACTCCCAGTACCATTTTTCAGAATTACCCTTTTCGGAAATACAGGAATACCATTCTGGTGACAATTAAATTGACCTCAATGATGAAGATTTCGAAACTGAAGAGGATTCCATTTGCAGAGGATTTGATCAGCATGACTTGAATGATTTGGCATGACATTTAGAACTATCTAAAAAAGCCTCAAAGCTGTTAGCATCAAGACTGTATGAGAAAAATTTGCCTGAAAAAAGAAGCTAAGGTATCCTACTTTCAATAAAAAGAAAGTGCATTTCTGTAATACTTGCGAGGTGATGGTGGATTTGCATATTGCCATAACATACATGGTTTAATGGAAGAGTTGTAAATTTCAGCCTATAACGCAATTCAACGGTGACTGTTCGTTGATAGCTCAAAGGAGAGCTCAAAGTGTGTCCTCCTCCACAATGGAAATTTATTTGGTGCAGTCCTAATAGGCCATTCAGTTTGTTTGTGTGAAGAATATGAAGACAAAAATAGAGTCACTAATTTGTTGCACTGTCACATGCACCAATGGATCATCTCCATTGACCTATAAAATGGTCTGCTTCCTCTTTGGCTAGCAATGCGGATACACTAAGTTTTCCTATTTTATGTAAGTGGAACAGCAGAGCTCATGAGCATTTGGTGAAGTCAAACTGGCCACCAAGGTCTGATCAAAAACACAGTGATCCAAACATTCTACATCAGCCACTTGTCGATGAAAAGAACATAACATATTCACCTCTGCATACAAGACTAAGTCTCATAAAACAATTTGTTACAGCTTTGCCAATTGAAAAAGACCATTTCAAGTGTCTTATTTCAGCATTTCCTAGTCTGTGGTTTGAAAAGATAAAAGATGTTTGGTGGTTCAATGATTTGGCAGCAATATGGGTATTTCATAGGAACAAGACAAAACTTCAAAATAATGCTTATTTTGCATTTAAAAGTATTCTGAAAGACTCTCTTGGAAATACACAAGCACAGAATTACAGTGAAATTGTCTAGTAACTTATGCTTCAAAATGCTTATTAGCTTCAAAATGCTTAGTTGCACCATGAGCATCAAACTGTATTTTTTTGCATAGCCTTCTTGATAACTTCCCAAAGAATCTTGGTGAAGTCAATGATGAGCAAGGTGAGGTATTCTATCAAGATTTGAAGGTTACAGAGGTAAGGTACCAAGGTAGATGGGATGTATATATGATGGCTGACTATTGTTACAGCAAAAGTTGAAAGTTTACAGATTAAACACTCAAGAAAAAGCCATAAGCGAAATTTTCCCCTTAATATGTATGTTTACCATAAGATAAAAGATAAAAATACTTTACTATTTATGTGAATAAAATTTAACTTTGAGTAATTAATTGCATATGGCTTTTGCATGAATAAAACTATTATCTGTGAACAGCACTTTTGGTAAATTTTTCCTTTACATTCATATTTTGTATGACATTTGAGACAAAGGGAGGGTATCCTGCAGCTTAAAAAAGTTGATGTGACAGACAAAAACTGAGGTTATTTTTGGATTCAGGGGTCAAAAGTTAGTCTAAACAAGTGACAGACAACATCTAATACAACAAAATTGTTACAAGAGAAGACACAAATATTTTCTGCACATTAAAATGAAATCCCCTACTTCATGCCTTCTGTATAATCTATTTTTCAGATTTGAGTATATTTTGTACATTTCTATTTCTCTGTTTCTTATAATCATTTAATACAATAATCATTCTTTACATGAAGACATATGTATCATTAAGGTTGCCATAAAGTTGGCTTTCCTGCCAAAGTTTGGCACTAAAGTGGTGATAAGTACTGTAGTTAACAGAAAAGTATGCATATATTTGATGATATGCAGGTTCTACTCTTCAGTAAAATCTTCAATGTATTTGAATAAAACTATACTCCCAAAATGTTTGTGCTTTAAGTGAATATCTACTAGATTTTATGCACATAGAGAAATTACAGCTACTTCCATCTGTTCCAGATAATTACTATAATAATCTTTTAAAGAGAGCTTTAATGTTATTTTTTGTACAATTCAAGATTGTTAATCCACCATACGAAACGGTTCAAAATTTCTTATTTTGTTTCTATTTTTTATAATCTAAGAAATTTAAATTACAAATATTGTCTATATCAAAAATTTCAGTTATCCATTAATTAAGGGTTTAAGCAATATGTAAAAAATGAAGTTGTACCAAATACACGTTTCAATTGCAATCTGATATGGAAAAGGCAATATTAATCCTTAACTGCAGTATAGAAATAGAACACTTAACTATTAACATAAAAGCAATTTAATGCTTTATATTACAACACAAGAAGTTATTTCAATTTTTAAGAACTGTTTAATTATACACAACAAAAGCTCTTCTATCTGACACTTTAAATAAAAATTTAGGAGTTTTGTTCCTTAAATATGTAATACACTACATAAATACCACAAAATACAAAAAGGGATTTATAATTTTAAAATTTTATGTTATTAAATGCAAGAAGTAATTAAACTGATTCTATCAATTAGTACAATTATTTGTAATAAGAATAAACTCAATAAAATTAAATAAACTCATGAACTCATGAACTCAATGAATGAATTAACTCAATACAACTAAATTTTTCACTGTTGAATTCCTGATAAGTTTTCCAAATTTTACTGCAAATAAATAAAAAATTATAAAGCAATAAAATGCTTCATGAAATAAATCTACTACGTAATTAAAAAAAAAAAATTGCACAGATTTCATGCAGCATTTGAAAAAAATAAGGGAAATACCTCTTTTAATTCAAATTCTCCTTCACCTCGCATACAAATGTAGTGATCTAAATAGTTCCAATTATAATTTTCTAGTCTTTCACTTGTAAAATCTACCCAAGAAACACCATATGTATCACTATCAGGAGCATGAAATCGATAACAATAATGGACTTTTATTTCTCGGTATGGATGGCTGCAATAAAAAGCCTAATTAAAAATTGTTCAAGTTGATGGCATAATCAAAATAGAAACTGGACAAATAAAATTAATTCTATACAGAACATGATACCATATTTGCAATGGTCAAGTGTAAGAAAATCACTTTTTTCAGGAATCCAAAAATATATTAAGAACAAAAAAAGAAAGTACAAAAGTATTTTGGAAAGCTATTGTCAAGAATTTAAGTATTATAATCATGCCATATTTTATAAAAGTAAGAAACACAAAATTATGGAAAACATGAATAGCCTTTTAAAAGTGTAAAAAATCTGTTTGTAAATTTTATGAGGCCGAAAGCCCTTTACCTGCTAAAGTATCTGTTTCCTCGAGAAGCTTACAGTGTTAAAACACTAAGATTATTTATTTATTTATTATCATAGATATTAGCCTATTATAAACTTAAAATCTCTCAGCTGAAAAAATTTCAATTGTTAATGGAACTTGATGATAATTTTTATTTTATAATCTTTTCTGATCTTTAATGACTGAAGTTTACATTTCAAATTCACCTAGGGTAAGTGCCAATAAGGGAAAAGCTGCAATAAATTAGTTACCATTACCAGACTTCAGTGCAAAAGATTTTAATGGACCCAATACTCACAATAGATGAGTTTCATAGCTCATTTCAACTAAACGTATTATTGTCTAGCAAGTCACTCTTACAGTAAAAATGACAAGTATACTAACATGCACAAAATGTTTAAATTTTACAATAGTTAAACAGCAGATTAATTTATAACAGCTACAACCAATAGGCTATAGTTAGCATTGATATTAAAATATTGTCATTATATCGGGTCAGTCCACAAGTTTATGGGCATTAAGAGTATCTGTGGAATTCACTATGATGCATTTACTAAAACAATACAATTTTGAACCTGTTGAAACTTGTCATCGTTTGACTAACATATTATTCAGTTCATGACCAACTTTCATAAATATTGAACAAATTTTAGTACCCATAGAAGATGAATATAGATAATCAGTACAAATGTGCTGTGCTACATTTTTTATTTTCGTGTGGTGAATCTGCCAGGTTTGCAGCGATAAAAATTAATAGTGTACATGGTGAACACACTATTAGTGTAAGGACTGCCCAGAAATGGTTTAAAAAATTTAAAGTTGGAGAAAACAGCCTTGATGATGAACACCGTTCAGGACATTTTGAACTGTTCGAACCAAATCAAAGGATTAATTCAGAAGTTTATAGTGAACAATTTTGCCATCTAAACTTAGAACTGATCAAAAAATGCCCACGATTGGGGAATATCAATAAAGTGTTGTTTCGTCATGATAACGGTAGACTGCATATGGCTTGAACAGCACTGCAAAAAATTACTGAATTTAATTGGGAGCTTTTGCCACATCTTGCTTACTCCCCAGTAATTTTTACTTATGTTTCGGCTTGCCTTACTGGGAAAAAAATTAAAAAACTCTTGTTACATGTTTTTTTTTTTGCATCAAAACCACAATCTTAGCAATGGATAAAAAAGCTGCCTAAGATGGCGAGACATTGCAGATAATGGAGGAAAATATATAATTGATTAAAATGTTAAATTGTGTTTTTTTATATTATTTAAAAATTTACCAAAACAATGCGCACGAATTTATGGACAGACCCAATACAATAATAACAATATGATAAAAGTTTACGAGCATTTAAATAGTAACAGAATTGAACAACAAGAATTTTTAACTGTGATGTAAATAAAAAATTCAATCTGAAATCAAGATACCAAGTTATACTTTACTCTTAACAATCATGTAAATAATATATCATTGATCTAAATAGCTGAATACTTGCAACTTAATGCATTTGTTGAGAATGGCCAATACGCATTAACCGTTTTGTCACCTCACCACCAAGAATGCTGCCGAAGATATACCACACTAAAAAAAAGAATTCTTGATTAAACAAAACAATTTATTTTCTACACATGATAGTTCTTCAAGAGTAAGAAAATCACTTTTTTCAGGAATCCAAAAATATAAGACAAAAAAAGGAAAAGTACAAAAGTATTTTGGAAAGCTTTTTGTCAAGAATTTAAGTATTATTAATCATGCCATATCAATTTTATAAAAGTAAGAAACACAAAATTATGGAAAATATGAATAGCCTTTTAAAAGCATAAAAAACCACACAGGGTGACTGAATTACACTTGTGAAAAAGGAAAAGCTCTGTCCCTGTTTTGATACAGAGCTCCCACAGAAGATGGATTTAAAGGTCTCCTACTCTTTTTACTTCCACCAAACTATTTGAGAAGACTTTGTCTTGCCAATATTTTAAATGCCTCCATGAGCAAAGACACTAGCAAACAACCAAACTTTCACTGAGATTTGAACTCAGGCCTAAAGATACTGCAGCCAGCATTACTATCCGCAATACCAATAAGGGTGGCACATACAACAATATAAACAAATTCTTATGTAAAAAAGCAATTATGCAATGCATTATTGAAAAAAGGATTTACTGTAATGGTGGCAATAGTCATGAATGCTCATCCAAACTACTAATATAAAATTTAAATTTTGCACCTCATCTGTACCAGAAGAACACTTCTGTATAAATATTCAAAAAACACAAAAATGCTTACACAACATTAATTGCACTAATTAAAATCCACTAGACAAAAATAATATTAAATTAATACATCTCAAGACTGTAGTTCAGATTCACATTACATGTATAGATAATTACTATATATTTCAGCAGATAAGACGACAGCTGGATAATTAAAAAAACAGGCACCCAAAATCTGGGGTCGTTTTACAGGATAGATTAAAAAAAAAAGTTTCAGATTTTAATTTTACGTCCAACAGGGCATTTTATTAACGTTTTGTGTGTTACCTTTATTTATTAAATATCATGTTCTTTGCACTAAAACCATGAAATTTAGTTCAACAGCAATGTTGCAAAATAATTTACAAAATATCATATCTTTAGAAATCCGATACACAGTTTTGCGTGCTGCAGATATAAAAGGTCCCCCCCCCGGTAGAGTGTTGCTATTACTTTGAAATCGTTGAGTTTGTTAATCAAAAATTCAATAAAGTTTTCCATAACATGAAATAGATTATGAAACAAATTCCAAATTTGGGCTTTCAGATGCCCATATTCGCAGTAGGATTATGTCATTCTAAATTGGACGGCTCTAGGTACCATTGTTTTATTATAATGCGAGAAACATATGCATTTATGCAGATTCTTCATTATTTATTTTCTTCAAATATAAAAGAGGGCAATAGTATTTGGTGGCAACAATTTGGAAAGTGATACAGCCTTTTAAATTTCGATGCAAAATCCAAAATGAAAATAATAGTCCTTCAGGGACAAAGCCCCTTTGGACTAATTAGATTGAAATTTATGTAAATTAAAACCATAACAAAATACAATTGCTTACCAATATATTTAAAATCCTGCAACATCATCCCATTCATCATCTAAGGCAAATAGCTCCTTAAGTATGTCCTAATTTTTGTTGTTGAGAAGCTCCTCATTTGGCTTGTCTGTAGCTAGCAAGTCAATTTACACTTCATCATCAGTATCCCATAACAAATTGTTTTTAGTGCCATTCACAGCATTAAAAATCTGACACTTTTTGAAGGATTTGATGACTATTTCTACTTGCACCTTTTCCCCATGATTTGATCCCTGCATAGCTCCATCTTTCAAATATGACTTTTCGCTACTCATCATCCAGTTATTCCATTGTCTACACATGTGATTTGGTTTATTCAGAGAGATGTCTAAAGGTTGTAGTATCAAAGTTAAACCAACTGGTACAACAGCAGTCTTAGTACTGTTCCATGCTCAGTGACTTTTAGTGTTCTCAGTTACATGACTATGAAACATATCTCACTCCAACCATGTTAATTTCATAGAGCCCATACCGTATTTGATGGCATATAAGACGCACTTTGTTTCCTAAATTTGGTCTCAAAAACGTTATCTGTGTCTTATACGTGAAGGACACAGGTTAACTTTCAATACTGAATGATATTTTTAGCCCAGATAAAGTTCTAGACACACATAACTTTTTCTACCTCTGCCATAATTATTTTGCGCATGCATGAAATATCTGTCGCCTAAAAGAGCCAAAGCTCGAAGCTGATGTCAAAGTTCGAACAGGTTCAACGGTCACATTATGTCTATGGAGCCATTCCTTCTTTACATAGACTTTTCTTTGAAACCTGTTTTGGTATCAGTACCAACACTGTATGTGTCGGTATCGGTGCTTAAAATTATTTGTTTAAAAAAAAATACCCCCTGGAAAATATGACTACAGGAATCAAGAGATTAGCTATACAATTCAGTATAAACTAGGAGTGTTAAAACTACACCAAAGTGCATGGAAACAGAACAGCAGCAAGGCATTTCGGTCTACCACCTACCGAAAAAAAGATACGTACTTGGCGACTGCAGGACGATGAACTGAAAACTACTAAAAAACAAAAACATAACTTTCGATGCCCAGCTCTATCTTGGCCTGAACTTGAAAATGCATAAAAATGTGGGTGATAGATAAGAGGAAATATGGGATAAGTGTTTCAACTAAAATGATAATCAATGAGGCGAAAGGATTTGAAGAAAAATATGAAAATCAGAACTTTTTAGGGTCTGAGGGATGGTGCTACAGGTTCAGGAAAAGGCAAGGCTTATCAATGCACACAAAAACAACTATTGCACAGAAAATGCCAGCAGATTACGAAGAAAAAATACTAGCATTTCATAGGTTTGTTATAAATGCACGCAAGGAAACTTCTTTTGAGCTCGGTCAAATAGGAAATATGGATGAAATTCCACTCATGTACCACCCAAAAAGACTGTGAGTATTAAAGGATCTAAATCAATAATGTTGTGTAGTGAATTTAATTTAATTAAGTGATTCATAAAAATCAAAATTTTAATTTGTAATTATTCAAAATTTGAGCTACACAAGTTTGGTTATATTCTTTTTGGGCCTATTAATTCTAGTGTAATATTTTGGCTTTCCGAGTTTACGCGAACTGCGTCTTCAATCTTGTACACGCAAACAATGGATAAGTATTTTTTTTCTACGTAAAAAACTCAGTTTTTCATGTCAAAAATTAATTTGATTTCTTAGTATTTAATATCATTAGTTGCAGAAAAATTAGCTCTTTAATTTGGCATAACTTTCATTTTTCTAACTTTAATTGCATTTCAGTTATGAGCTTTAATTAGTAGATTTTCTTCGTTTCGCTTGTGATTTAGTTAAAGGGGGATGAAATGCCTTCTTTTCCGGTTGAAAAGTCACTTTTTTGCGAGTTTTCAGCGTTCTTTCGTTGGGACCCTTGCAGGGTTGTTGAAATTCCTAATTTCCCCCGGTCGCAGGTGGTGTTTATTTGGCGAGGGTTTGGCGACATAGATTTTCCGTTGAGGTTTCAAAATAGTGGTTTTGGCGAGTTTGATAACATGAGGGTATGCTGTGGTTGCAACTATTTCAACTTTCGGCGAAAAATGGGTTGCGCCAACTTGGCAGTCCGGCGCTCTCCCTTTTAACGGGTTGTTTTGTGGGACGAGGGCACTTTTTGACACTTTTGCTTTTGCCCTTTGCAAATGCTTTCTGATGCTGCCGGAGGCGACAGCTGACTCCGACGAAGAAAATGGAGCTTCGCCCCTGATAGACCTACGGGCCTCTTGGCTAAGCGCTGTTGAGCGCGGGCCGTAGGTATGGGCATCTATGTCTTCAAAAAAAAAAAAAAAAAAAAAAAGAAATTCTTTCATCAGTTTTTTGTTGTTGTGTGTGTTTGTGTATCTCAAGAAAAATATACAGAAGTAAATTTCTAGAAAAATGATGCGCACCATTGATTCGTCGCTTCACTCGGAACCAGAGCGTTAATTTACAACCGTTGCTTTTTGGAACCTCATTTGCTCATCCTAAAATCTACTAGAACCTTCAAGGCTACCACCGTAATGAATAATTTCAACCGTTGCTTTTGGAACCTCATTTGTTCATCCTAAAATCTACTAGAACTTCTAGGCTACCGTAATGAATCCATACTGTTCGACGAACATTTTTTTTTTCCATTCAACAGGCTGCCAGCATTTCCTCATGAGCTTCGAATGGATTTTTTTTTTTTTTGTTTGATGCTCCTTCTGCTCTTGCGAACAGATAAGTTCTTTTCTTTTTTTCTTTTTTTGGTTAATTCTTGGTTAGTTAAATATTATAGATTTCTGCAGTTAAAATGATTGAATTAACTTAATTTGTTTAATTTGTTGAACCCTTAAATTTTTTTTGTAGTTGATAACTTTATCCTAACTCTATAGAAATCATTTTTCTTTGGTGTATCAATCAAGTAAAGCATTAAATTGGAATAAAGATTTATAACCTTATTAAAATTATTGTAACTTAACTTAATGGTTAAGAAAATTAAGTTCTTCAGGAAATTATTTACTTGAATGTTTTTTTTTTTGAATTACTCATTGGTGAGGATGATTTGAAATAGTGCTTGTATTAGAGCATTCTTGTTTCTCAGGACGAACTTGTTTGTAGAAGTAGTAAATGTGTCATTACTTATCTTTATCCGGTTAAACCATATTTAATTAATCAAGAAAAAAATTAAATAATAAAAATTATTATGTGCAATAATAGTATTTAAATGATGGTATTTGAGTGCAATATTAAGCAATATTTTTGTTGTATTGATGAATTCTGTGTGAAGTGGAAAGTGTAACTTGTTAAATTTTTTTTTTTTTTTTTCTTTTCTCCCCGGGGAGGGTAGTGTTCTTAAATTTATAGTTTATTTTGGTATGTTTTACCAGATTTGCAATATTAAATTTAATAGTAATTACAAGGATGTTAAAAAATAATTACTTGGAAATGTTTGATGTGTAAAACAATAGTTCAAATTTTTGTTGAATATATTTTGATATTTTTTTTCAACTAATGGATTTATATATATATATAATTTGGCATTAATAGTTAAATAAATAAGTTTTTCTAGATCATTCAAGGGTTAAATTTTGTGTGTGTGCTCATGATTTTCACCCGTCTCATTCTCAAATTGATTTCAGGGTTAATCCGAAACACAACGCAAATGTACAGAGCTTATTGATATTTTTATTACTGTTGTTAGGAAAATTTAAGTGTTTTGTCAATAGGTGGAACCATAAAAATTTTGGTACGTACTTTTCTTACGATAACAATGGTGCCGTGACCAGGATTTTAGCACTTAACAATTTTTGTTGTGCTGTTTATTTTTGCACACTTTTGGCTTGCGCTTATAGTGAACTTAATTTGACTTGAGACTGGTGATTGTCATGTGTACTATTGCATATTTATGTGAAAGTTTTTCTTCCACATGTCTAGGCTTTTTACTGAAACCCTACTCGTTAGTTAGTTACAGTGGACAGGCCCTATACAGTGGTCGTATTACTGTGCTTATTTTATACTTATTGTTTGAGGTTGCATACCAGATATGTACTACTGATACACATTTGGACTTTAAAACTATTGTATCCCAACACAAACATTTTCACGCAGTACCTGTTTAGTTAAATATTAGTATTTTCTTTTGTGCAAATTTTTGTATTGCATTTTTTACATATTGGATTTTGAGGATTACTGTTTCACACTTTTGCAACTGTATGTTTGCAACATAAGCTTAAAAGGCACGCGTGTTAATCACCATTGGGATCATCCTTACTTTATGTGCTTGCAATTACTGATATCCATTTATCATCACTTTTAAGTTTGGTGAGAATTGCATTTGTGTTAATGAATTAATTTTTTTTTTTTTTTTTTTTTTGCTTATTGCATTTTTGTGTGATTATTTTGAAGAATTTTAATTTTAATTAATTGAATGAGTGTCAGAGCAGTATTTTTGTGTTCAGGATTAGTAATTTTCTTTAAAACCTCTTGAGATGTGTTATTGGATTTGTTTTCCATGGAATCAGTACCTAATTGAATTGAGTTAAAAATTTGGATATTTGAAATGTTGAAAAATCTGAAATGTTTGTTTCTTAAAGTTAATTTTTGTTAGATTTGTAAAGTTGCACGGGACCAGTGATTGTTTATTTAGGGATTGATTGAATTTTTTTTTTTTGGAAGTTAGTTTTCAACGGGAGTGAAGTTTCTTGTTTAGCTTTTATGAGTTTGAGTAATTAATTTTCTACCTTAGTTTTGAGTTTAGTGAACATTTATTGCTGTCTGAGAAATGGGTGAACACAGTAAATTAGAGAGTTTTGCATTTTACAGCAAAATTTTTGAATTGTGAATTTTGGAAAAACAAAGATTTTTTTTTTGGAAAGGTAGAGTTGGTTTTGTTTGAAGTTTTGGAAATGTAGTTAAGAGGTATTATTCTTACTCTTAACTGTTGGCTTTTCACGTGGTTTTAATGGTAGATTTTAGTGAGTTTCCTAGTGAGTGGTGTGACATTTGTTTTAACAGTGATTAAATTTTTTTTTTGGTTTGTCAATTTTTGAGCTTAATAGCTTATTGTTTTGATTTTGAATTTATTTTTTTTTTTTCTTTGGTTGAACTTGTTGCAGGGTTGTAGTAACTTTAAAAAGTGGATGTGAAATGTGTTTGGAAATTTAACTTGATACGAATGGAAGTGAAAGTTGAGAAGTTAACTTGAATTTGTGGAATTAGAAATTACTTATGTGAGTTTAGTGTTGTGAGATTTGAGAAGTTTTGATTTGATTTTAAGATTTAAGAGTGATTAACTCCA